TTAAGACCCCGCCTCTCTCTCTTGGCTCTCTCTCTCCCACCCCGCAATAAAGAATCTCTTGCCAGATCACTCCTCTCCACATGGTCACTTTTGGGGCCTACATTTACAACACTTAATGTATGAAAGTTCCTAGCAAAACATTCCTGGGCTCCTTCTAGACCTAATGGTCACTAACTAGTCTAAAATCTTAAAAGATAAAATATTCAAGAACTCCATTTAGCACCAGGTGCAGTAGTGCATACTTATAATCCAGCACTGGAGAGGTAGAAGCAGGAGGATTGCCAGTCCTCCTGGGCTACATAGAGTGTCTCAAAAAAGAAAGAAAGAAAAGGGGGCGGGAGAGGAGAAGATAAGAGAAAGAAAGAAAGGAGGGAGGGAGGGGAGGAGGGAGGGAGGGAGGGGAGGAGAGAAGGAGGGAAGGAAGAATTCCACTGAAAATGGCTGGTGAGGTTGGGATCTAAAAACCAGGAACAAGAGCTGAGGGCATAGCTCAAGTGGTAGAATGCTTGCCTAGAATGCACAGGCACTGGGTTCAAGTCCCAACCCTGAAAACCAACATATGAAAACAAATTTTTGTAAAAGAAAAAAAAAAAACAGGAATGATTTGAAGAATGATCTGTTTTGGAAACAGGCATCCCTATTACTTCATGAGTTATTCCAAGATGGAAAAATCTCTGTCATCCCCTCCTTATTTCTAAGACATACAGAGTAGAGTTGCTTTCTATGAAAATAGATAGATTCTGATACACTCCTAGTGGGTGGAGCAGAAAGGCTATCCCAGCCAGACATGCTGAGGAAGGGCTGACATTCTCAATAAAAACCATGTTGATTTTGTCCTTACAGAATGGAATGACCCAAGAATAAAAGTGAAAATGGTAGTATCTTCATTTTTAGAGAGGCATTCCAAAGGGAAATAAAAATATAAACAACATTTTTAGGTTAATTCTCCCTAATAATCAAGTAATAAAAATTAAAGCAAATGTGGTATCATTATATGCAAACTAAATTATAATAATGTTCATAATAACACTCAATGATAGTGAAGTTGAGTAAAACCTCACAACCTTGGCTGATAAAACTGCAAACTGGTACAATCATTTAGAAAAGCAAAATGAAAATAGAGTTACTTCTGGGACAATAATAACATTCAGAAGAAATGAGATATAATTAGAAACAGAAAGCTTTTTCAGAGATGATAATCATAGAATTACTGTGCTGTTCTTAGACTATCTGGAAACAACCTAAATTTCAAAGCGTGAAGACAAGGTCTGGTACCTAATACATAAGTGAGTATGAGGGAACTGAAAGTGGAGCTTATAGAAACTGCAAAAGAATCTTTCCATTCAACAGAAATTTGAAAACTGAATTTTATGTTTTATATTTATATGCATAGGGCTGGAGATGTACCTCAAGTGGTGGAATGCCTGCATAGAAAGCTCAAGGCCCTGAGTTCAAACCCCAGTATGTATATATGTGCATGTATATACATATACACATATATATATGTGCACATACATACATAAAGTAGCCATACTGGCACACAAATGTAATCCACCACTCAGGAGCCTGAGGCAGGAGAATTAAAAGTTTGAGACCTTGTTTCAGTGAGGCCCAGTGGCTCACGTCTGTAATCCTAACCACTTTGGAGGCTGAGATCAGGAGGATTCCAATATGAGGTCAGCCCAGGCAAATAATTCATGAGACTCCCTCCATCTCCAAAATAACCAGAGCAAAATGAACTGGAGGTGTGGCTCAAGTGGTAGAGCCTGCTTTGCAAGAGCAAAGCCCTGAGTTCAAACCCCAGTCCCACCAAAGAAAAAAAAAAACCTTGTTCTAATAAAACATATACATACACACATTTTGCATATATGAGTGTATATATGGTTAATCACACAGAAAGGTAATATATACTGTGAAAATGAATCAAAAATGAAGATTATATTTTTTCTTTTTGTGCAAAATTTTTTTTTTTTGTCTTTTCTTTTTTGGTGCTGGGATCGAACCCAGGGCCTCACAAATGCTAGGCAAGCGCTGTACCACTGAGCTACATCCCAGCTTTTTTGTGCAAAATTTTAAAACTCAAAATTTCTTAGGTCAAATCCTATTTCAGTACTGATGTGGGGAGCTAATTACTCTAAGATAATGATTTTTGAAACAACTTTTTGAAATTCTACCTGCTATGGAACGTTTTTTGCTTTTCATTTTTTTAATGAATAATACATGGTTCTAAACCGAAAAGACATAAAAGCACACTTTAAAAAGTGAGTCTAGTTGCCACCTGCCCCTCAGCCATCCAGTTCCCTCTTCCTGGAAATAATGAATGTTCTCAGATTATTTCCTATCCTTCCACAGACATTCTACACAAAAACAAATAAGTATACACATGTGCTGCTGCTTTTGGGGGGGCTGGTACTGAGGTTCTATCTCATGGCTGCACTTTTGCTAGGCAGGAGCTCTACCACCTGAGCCATGACGATGCTCTCCCTTTTGTCGTGTTGGGTATTTTTGAGATAGAGTCTCTTTTTTTTTTGGCCTGAGTTAACCTCAAATTGTGATCCTAGGATTACAGGCATGAGGCATGAGCAAGCAGCTTGTATTGTTTCTTTTTTATATTAAGGCCGATAGGCTTGAGTTACTAAAAAAATAAAAATAAAAATTCCACTTAAGAATTCAGCAAACCTTCAAAAATTAAATACCTTTGATGATGACCTTCTCTTCATACTCTCTAAGAGGCATTTTGTCTTTCCAGTTCAGAAAATTTGCAAATTCCAGGTAATTGATCAGGCCATCGTTATCCACGTCACAGTACTCAAACAGCTGCTCCAGGAGCTTCTCATCCAAGTGCAAACTGGCCCCATCACAAGCTTCCTGCAACTCCTCTTTATCTACCATCCCATCTCCTTTCTGTTAGACATGAAGCAAAAAAAGATGCACTGAGCACTGTCTCCAACAGCAAAGTAGACAATTTCTATTGTTATTATTATTTTCTTCAAGGAAAAGAGCTAGTTGGCAGGTGAGGATAGAAGGATCACAGTTCAAGTTCAGCCTGGGCAAGACCTTGTCTCAAAGAACAAGTCAAGTATAGTGCTACACACCTATAATCTCAGCTACTCAGGAGGCCTACATAGGAAGGAGGATCACTGTCAGAGGCCAGTCCAGACAAAAAATCTTGAGACCCTATCTGAAAAATAACCAAAGCAAAAAATGGCTTGGAGTGCGGCTCAAGTGGTAGTGTTAGCTTAGCAAGCTCAAGATCCTGAGTTCAAACTCCAGTACTGCCAGGAGTCAAATATTAAGCAATATTTCATCGAGTCAAGCTAATAAATGCACTCAGTAATTTCAACCTGGATGGTGCAGGGTGCGACTCAGAACCATCCGTGTGTGTGTGTGTGTGTGTGTGTGTGTGTGTGGTGCTAGGGATTGAACCCAGGACCTTGCACCTGCTCTGAGCTACACTCATAGCCCCCATTCGACTGTAGTCATATTCTTTAAACCATGCTGCTTGCAGTCGCATGAAACACATCTAGCCATGATACATGCTTGACATTTGATGTTTCATTTGGTCGTGTTGTGTACTTCTGACAGCTGTTTACAATTTTGCATGTTTACAAAGTTTAAAACACCTAAAATGTTTCAATTGGGCAATTACTGCTTATTAATGAGGAGAAATTGAGAAGGCAGTTGCCAGGCAACTCAAAGTAAAAAAGTAAAGGGAGGTGGACTCAAAGACAGTTGCCTGGTTTTGTTTGATAACACTCCTGTGGGCAAGGGGAGATACTACCAACCAACCAAGTCCTCCGCCATTGTAACAATTAGCATTAAGATTGACTGGCAGGGAGAGGAGGGGTACGTCTCCTTTCAGACAAGAGTTAAAGACAGAAGTAGAAGTAACTACCCTAAGCATTAGTGGAGGGAAATTTATGAGGGCTCTGATCAGAAACTTGGCTGATTCACATGGGAGATGGGGCAGAGGACATGACGCTCCTTTAGGAAGAACACTAACACCTGAGGCATGTTACCACTCAGTCCCTCTGCACCTATCAAGCCAACCATATCCATTCAGAGATCATGATAAAGAGTGAGGTTTTCATTGTGTGTATATGTGTCTGTATATATGTTTATTTGTTCCTTTGTTTTTTGGATTCTGGTTGCTATAAGGAAATGTTGGGCTGGGAATGTAGCTCAGTAGTAGAGCACTTGCCAGGCATGCATGAGGCCCTGGATTCAATTCCCAGCACCACAAAAGAACAAAGAATAAAAGAGAGTGCTGGATTCTTCACAGAGATTTCCCAGAAAGAGAACAATTCCCAAAGGAAAACATGAATGAATCAATTAGTAATATTCAGGCCCTAACTTTCCAGGATTGTATTTATAACACTGATGGAGGTGATCCCCTGTAAGACGAAAAATGATCCAATGAGCAGACCCAGTGAATTCTAGATAAATCATTGCAGTCAGTTCCAAGCCCTTGAGACATTCCCTCAGTCATATGTTAAAACAGAATGTGAGCATAATACATATTGACAATGGAGTTACTGATGCCCCCCGATTAATGCAGACTCCCTTTTACAAAAGTCTCTACTGCAGACCCAAGACAACTAAGAATACAAACCCCATTTCCCTGGTGGAAAAGCAACATGCTAGATGGCTACTCATCAAGAAGCCCACAGAACTAAACTAAATGCTGTTAATCAACCAAGTCTTCATCAATCAACCAATGATAACTCTGCTCCTAACACAGGACTTCATATAGATTGAAAACATTGGTGCTTCACTCACTGGGCTCCATGCAACCACGGTACCACTCAAAATTCAAGGTAAGTACATGCCTATAATCCAGCCTTCCTGGAGGCAGGAAGATCAGACATTTGAGGCCAGCCTGGATTATATAGAGAGATTCTATCACAAAAAACAAAGCAAAGAAACAAAATCTCAAGGTAAATGTGGCCAAAGCAGGGAATGAAATGGGGCTCTGGCTCTTTCCTATAAAAATGTTCTGTTCCTCTTACACCTTGTCTTTCCAGACCAAAGGTCCAAGTAGAAATAGGGAATGACTGGGGAGTGGGGGGAGGTGGGAGGGGGGAGGTGAAGTTATCACTGACTTTGTAGTAACAGAAGAAATGCAGTAGCTAAACTCCATGGAAGGGACACCTTAGACCCAGGACATCAGGGAAGTATCTTTCTCAACACTCCCTGGAGACTGCAACATGAAGGAAAATGCCCTGTTTTAGCTCTCCCAAACTGTCAGAAGCACTGTAAGTTTAACTGAGTGCCAAGTATTTCTATCCAGTTTGAATGCCATTTTCCTAAAAGTTACTGAGAACTCTACTGCAAAGAGCAAATAATGGCCCTAGTTACTGTAACCCCCGCATAGAATACCTTTAGATGTCCTTCCCAGCCCTATTTTGAGTCATTCCATGGGGGAAGTGAATGCCGTCAACAAGAAAACACCATCAGCTGGTAACAAGAACAAACAAGAAGTTAAACCAACAGCCCTCATATAACACCTCCAAACCAAAGACTAGACACATTACTGAACCTAGCTGAGAGCCCTAAAGTCTACTAAAATTATTTTAGAAGACTATTCTAGTTTTAAGTTAACAATGTTTACATATTGGCAACAAATGTATTCCTTAAGTGAGCACAAATTACCGAGTTCTGCTTAATTGGACAATTAATTAAAAGAAAAAAATCATTAGCTGACTTGCATTGCTAAAAGCATCCTTCATGAATCACACAGCCTATGAGCTAACAGCCAAATAAAAATCCCCAGTTGCAACTTTGATTTTATCAGAGCACTTGGCTCTCATCCTCCTCCAGTGGTGTGCTATATATATATATATATATATATATATACACTTAACAACTAGACCTTTGGTGGGTGTAGTGGAAGACAGCCCTGTTTTGTAACAGCTTCTACTGTTCATGGCATAAATATTTTCATGAGGGTTAATTTCTAGTTACCATCCTAATGGCTTGCAAAGTTCCTGAAAATTTAACAGTATGAGCTTTCAGGAAAACTCTAGCACACCACTGCCACCCTAACTTATGATTAACTCTGCTAGATTTTTAAGGGAAGCAAAAGTCTTCACATTATCCAGGATAATACTTGATGCATGATGAGTGTGCAATAAAACAATTAATTTTATAAGGAATATTCATTTAGGAAATCATAGTTCATTTGCTCTGTTTTAATTTTTTTCTATTAAATTAAATTGGAGCATCCAACAACTTCAGATACAAATAATCAAAAATTATCCTACAGCTGTACTGGACGCACATGTTATTACCCATCCAGTGAAAAGTGAAAAGCCCCTTATGGACACTGAGCATTTACATTGTGCATATTAAAAATTAACCATTTAAAGGCCTATCAACACTAATTAATCCTCAGTAATTTCCTCCTTGCTTAATTTTATCATAAGGGATGTACCTGGTGGTTTTCTCAGATAATCAACAGCTATTAAGATGATCAGATTTTGTATAATTGCATTTAAAATGAAGAATTTTTAAAACCAAAGTGCTATGTATTGTGGCAGGTTCCCTTATTTATGTATTGTGACAGTTTCCCATATTTTTTTAGCCACTCAAAAAATTATGACAGATTTGAGTAAGGTTTAAAATGTGCTTATTTTAGTTTATATATTTTAATAATGAAGAATGATCGTGAAATTGTCTATAAATCCCAGTTGGTTTCTCTTTAAAGCCAGACAGATGAATACTGACATTTTCTTAAAGCACATTTTTGTGGGAAATATAATCGAGTACTCATTTGTAGTATCCTACACAATTAGTACAAATTTGGGTGGCAAGCAAAGCATTGAGACAGGGTTTCTTTATATAGCCCAGGGTGGCCTTGAACTCATCTGCCTTAGTCTCCCAAGTGCTGAGGCTACAGACATGAATTAATACAAACTTAAGTGAAATATCTAACCAACTTTTTATGCATTAGTGAACAGATACACAATCCCCAAACCTAAAAACAAATAACTGGACTTAAAATGGGTTAGCCAATGTGTGATCAAGATTTCTTAAAATAAAAAATGAGAACTGTAACTTTTAAGACCTATACTGGACATTGGAAGGGAGATGGGATTATTTCTCTTTTCCCTTTGAAGTAAACTAAAGTTTTTCTGCTCTTTTTTTCTTCTCATAGCAAGACTGTGGTACAAGTCAGGCGTGGTGGCATGTGCATGTAATCCCAGCACTTGGGAAGCTGAGTCAGGAGGATTGCAAATTGGAGACCAGCCTGGGTTACATAGTTCAAGGTCAGCCTGAGTCACATAGTGAGACCCTGTCTTTAAAAACAAACAGAAAAGACTGATACACTGCATCATTACACATTTGCTTATGAATTTGTACTTGTTTATATTAGATTCGTCCTAAAATAGTTTTGAAACTGCCTAGAAAAATAGGTACAATTAAGGCACCCAAGCTATCCCCAGTGCTCTCACCTGTGTCTGATCTTAGCTACTCAGGAGGCAGAGATCAGGAGGATCTCGGTTCAAAGCCAGCCCTGGGCAAACAGTTTAAGAGATCCTATCTCAAAAATACCCAACACAAAAAAAGTACTACTAAGGTAGTTCAAGTGATAGAGTGCCTGCCTAGCAAGCATATGGCCCTGAGTTCAAACCCCAGCACTGCAAAAAAAAAAAGAAAAAAGAAAAGGTAAAGAAAAAAAAAGCGGGAGTAGAAAATCAAGGCAAAATAAAAGTTGAAAAATCAGATGAAAACTGGAATGTAAAATCCTACAAAATATATGGTGTGAGATCATGTTCACAATTTCTTTATTCAATTGGTTCTGAGCTTCCTAGCAAACAGGACAAAAAGATATACGCAATCAAGGGGCTGAGAGTTTAACCCAAGGTAGAGTGTGTGCAAGATCTGCATTCAATTCCCAATACCAAAAACTAATTAATGAATAAATAAAGTAACTGAAAGATTAAAGGATCTTGCACTCCCAAAGTAGAAACCATAGCTGCTCCCAGAGGAAAAGACATTCTAAGCAGGATTTGGACTTAGCCCAAAGGTACTGTGTGTTTATATTAAGAGTTAGATATAGCTGGGGGTGTAGGTCAATGAAGCATTGGCCTAGCAAGTGTGAGGCCCTGGTTTTAATCCCCAGTACTGCAAAAAAAAAAAATATTAGATATAGATTGTGAAGTCTTCCGTAGGAATCTAGCACCCCACCCTTGCTCCCAGCACTCTGCAGTTTAATAACCGAGAGTTGTGGTTCTGAAACTTGAATGTGCATCAGAACCACCTGAAGTGCCTGCTAAACCTGCTGGGCTCCACCCTTGAGTTCCTATTCAGTTGATCTCTGGTAGGCCTTGGCATTTGCTTTTCTAGCAAGTTTCCAAGTATTGCTGAAAATGGTAGAAGAATCATACTTTGACAACCACTAATCTATACTAGGCATCAGCAATTTTTTTCTAAGAGCCAACTGTTAAAATATTAATCTCTATTACTACTATTCATTTCTACATGTAGGGTTGCATGTAGCCTGAGATAATACATAAAACAACACAGACAAGTAGTGGCTGGATTTGGCCCATAGGCCATAGTTTACTGACCCCTAATCTATATCAACCTGCTAGGATTTGTCAGCCCACATGTAAACCAATATGTCTGTTCTGCTACTGGCCTTGTCATAGTGCCTGAAGGCTGCCAGCAAACTGTCAAAGTTCTGGCAATTAAATTTCTTCAAGTGATGTCGAACTGCTGCAATCAGGGCTCGCTGTCTATCCATCCCCCGAAGACATTCACCAGGAAGTCTATTGTGGATGAGATCACCAACTCCTATTGAACAAAGAAAGAAAGTCTTTTATGTCAACTTAAAGTCTGTCTCCATATTATTACCATCTTTCAGAGAGAGTTAGAGGAAGAGGGAGAGACAGACCACAGAGACACAGAGAAAGAAAGCGTTAACAACCTTTATGAATGATAACAACTCATATCTAAATCTGATACTATTATCCAGGATGTTTTTGTGTATAAAAATGTACATGAAGCTTGGTACTGGTAGCTCATGCCTATAATCCTAGATACTCAGGAGGCAGAGATCAGGAGGACTTTGGCTGGAAACCAACCTGAGCAAATAGTTCACAAGACCCCATCTTGAAAATAGCCAACACAAGGACAGGACTGGCAGAGTGGCTCAAGTTTTAAAGCACCTGGCTTTACAACTTGTGTGTGTGTGTGAGGCTCTGAGTTTAAACCCCAGCACCACCAAACAAAAAAAGAAGACTGCCAGGGATAATTTTTGACAGATAAGTGAGACCTCTTTCCCTATTCCACTTCATCAGACATAAACCCTTTGAGTGGCTATTTTATGAAATAAAGCTCTTCCATATTCTGTAGGTGGCTCTGGGTTGAGTATTTCCTATCTTCAGAAATCTTCTCCCGTTAACAGCCAAAGATAATCAACTGAAAGGTTGTTTTCAACTCTAATGGTTTTCCCACTACAATCCTACTGTGTGAGACCTACACTATTACATTCTTCTGGTCTGGCCCTGGAATAATATTTATGAAGCTGATATCAAATTACTTGCTATTGAATTGCTTAAAAGCCATTTTTCTAAGCTGCACATTCTCCCAGCACTTGGTAGGGTGAGGCAGGGGGTTGGCAAGTTCAAGACCAGTCTGAGTTATATAATGAGACCCTGTCTCAAAATAACCAAAACCAAAAAAAAATAGTAATTTCCAATGAGCTGAACGATGTACAAGCTCTGGCCCTTAGAGAGAAAGAGACCCATAACCTAGCTGCCATACCACAGCAGGCTCTTCGACTGTACTTTGCCTGCAACAATTTTCATTATTCCCACCTGCCTTGGATTCTCCTTCATGCTGCCTCTACACTGGTGCATTCTGGGAGCCAGGCACGGACCTTACATTCTTCTAAGAGCCACTTAACGTAAGCAATAACTCCAGATACTAGGGATTAAGCATTCTTTGTATAGTTGACTTTATTTTTCTACATGAGGGTAAGGTAGAAATCCAGGCCCAGTATGTCTCTGGAAGCATGCACAGAAGAGATTTCCACAGAAGAGATGTCAGTAATTGACCCCAATGATAATATAAAAATGGTAGAATCTAGAGTAAAGTTCATCTAAGTCCATTCCTGAGTTCTAAAAACATTCAGAGCCTTAATTGGTGGATTTTTTTAATTGTCATTTACCTCCTCCAAAATCCTCTAAGATGAACAGGCATCCATTAAACATATAAGAGTTCATCTAAACACAGAACTAACTTCCTAATGTGGTGATTAATAATACTCTAAAACACTGCCATATATAAACTCAATAAATATTTTGTCAGTGGGCAGACTTTAGCTAAAACATTTCCGATTGTAATTCTTAAACTTTAGTGTACATGAGAACCTACCCTAGTTGGAGGCATGGCTCAAGTGGTAGAGCACCTGCCTAGAGTGAGAGGAAGGCCCTGAGTTCAAATCCAGTACTGCCTAAGGAAGAAAAAGGGGAAGGAGGAGAAGAAGAAACTGAAACTATGAATCAGAATATATCAGAACATGGGTCCCAGGAACCTTCATATTTCATATTTAATGAACTCTCTAGATATTTTTAATGCAGATAGTCTATTAGCCTCGGGGTTTTCTTTTGAGGGGACAGTGTTTCACTATGAAGACTAGGCTGGCATGGAACTCATGGTCCTCCTGCCTCAGCCTCCCAGTGCTGGGCATCTGGCTATTAAGGAAAGAGTAATTCTCAATTACGCAGTCTTAGAATAGTTTATAATTTTTACAATTTAAATGCGTAAGTATTTACAATATATTTAAATTTATTTGCCATACACTTAAATAGTTAAAATACAATTTATTCCAGGTATGGTGGTACACACCTGTAATCCCAGCATTCAAGATGCTGAGACGGGAAGATTCTGAGATCCAAGACAGCCTGGGCTACATAAGGAGACCCTGTCTCAAACAAATAAATAAACAAACACACAAAACTCACAGTCAGGCCGAATTCCAGTGGCTCACGCCTATAATCTTAGCTACTTGGGAGGCAGAGATCAGGAGGATTTTGGTTTGAAGCCAGCCTGGGCAAATAGTTCGAGAGACCCTATCTTGAAAATACCCAACACACACACACCCAAAGGACTGGAGGAGTGACTCAAGTGGTAGAGCACCTGTCTCGCAAGAATGAGGCCCTGAGTTTAATCCCCAGTATTACCAAAAAAATAAATAAAAATGAAAAAAAAAACCCACAGTCTCAAATCAGTAGTTTTGGAGTGGGACCTGAGATTGGGTATTTCTAAGATGCTGTCTTGAGACTCCCAAATTACCTGTCTATAGACTGCACTTAGAGTAGTGAAGGCCTAGAACAATATCTGAATTTAATAAAAAGCTGCTTCATTTCACTTTGGCTTGCTTAAATAAGGTTTTATTTATTGTATAAATAATACTCAAAGCATTAATTATACTTTAGGTATTCATAACAAAGCCCTTTAAACTGTACCCCAGTTCAAAACATATTAAAAAAATTCCTTCTTTGTATTACATATTTTTCTCATTACTGTTAATGTGACACTTCATGCCTTTAAAATCAGAAACATGGAAAGAGGGAGATGTTAGCTTAATTGCATGACTTTATGGAGACTCTTGAAGATGTCTGTCTGTTTTGCTAGGGAGAAAATTCGTATATTTACCATATTCCTCAGGACGGAGACAAGCTCCAAATGTGTGGCTTTGGGGAACATTCATGGTTTCTGCAATGCTATCAAAGAAAATAAATCCTTTAGTTAAAATGACCTCCACATGGCATCCCCTGAATTTAAAATACGTCTGCCATATGTTCTTAGTAGCCTACATGTTCTCCTACAAGCAAACTATAAGTTCAAACAAAAGTAATCCAAAAGATCTTTTGTCCAATTGTCCACTTGCTTTTAGCAATGGACTGAATGCTTTCACTGCCCTTTAGTAACCCAGTCACAAAAAAAAAAAAAAAAAAAAACCCACATTCAAAGCAAAATGACCAAAGTATAGAGAGCACGGCAGACATAGACAAGAAAGACTGAGAAAATGTAAATGGTAAGTTACATTTCTGTTGTTGTAGAAACAAAACAATGCAAAGTTCTCCCTCCTGTGTCTCCAAATGCCTGTTCCACCTTTCAGAGCTCACTGCTTTCCTGCAACCCCAAAGCTACAAACACTAACAGCAAAAAAAGGATTTCTTTTATTTAATAGGAAGAAACTAATAGAACATAAGCCAACATCACCCAGAAGAGTGCTTTTTAAATTTGATGCAAAGACACTAGCAATATGAAGTTAATCACTAACTTACGGATCGAAAACTCTTCCAAGCTTATGTTGAAACTTTTCTTTAAAATCATCAACTCTCTTGGATACAACTTTAGCTCCTTTTTTCCTACAAAATTAGAAAATTGTAAGAAATCTTTATTTCTTAAAGTATTCTTGAGGAGTGTCATAGTATCACTGCAACTTCAATTAACAAATCTAATATCTAGAAGAAATTCCACACTAAAAAGAAAGATTTATGTGTTCATTTTTCTACCATTTATATTTTATAATAAAAAATGCATGTGATTAAAGAATAAAGCAAACAAACTTTTAAAATATTTTCAATGAATAAAAACAAAGTTGCTAAAAGAAAATCAAGCATCATGTCAGGCCTCCTGGCACCCACCTGTAATCCCAGCATTCAGGAGACTGAGGCAGGAGGAGGATGAGTTTAAGGCCAGCCTGGACTACACAATGCGACTGTCTCAAAAACAAACAAACAAACAAAAACAAAAACAAAAGAAAGGAAATTAAGTATGAAATAAACAACTAAAGTATATACACTATAAGATAACTCAGATCTGGTAAGCAAATATATGGAGAAATTATAACAATCTCTAGTGATAAAATAATTATAAAATAAAAGAATAACAAAGTAGTCCTTCTAACTGACCAAAAAGGCAAATATGTATGGAGACAGGGCAAGATTATAAAAAAATTGGCAAAAAAAATGGTAAAACATTTTCAGATTGCTAAGGAAGATTCCTATAATCCTTTTGGAAATTACTGGACAATATGAATAAAAAAACAAAAAAATGGAGCATGGCTTAAGCAGGCATGAGGCCCTGAGTCCAAAATCCCAGCACTGCCAAAAGAAAAAGCATACACTGTTCATGCGTTTTTATTTCCAACTGGGAGCCAATTCATAAGGAGATAATCCACAGTGCCATACACCTGTGGTCACAGCTACTCAGGAGACCACAGCAGGAAGATTGCTTGATCCCAAGAATTTAGGGACAGCCTGGGCAATTTAGCAAAGTTCTGTCTCCTTAAAAAAGTTGGAAGAGCTATATGTATAAAAATATCTATAGGGCTAGAGTTGTGGCTCAGCCGTAGAACAACTGCCCAGAATGTGCAAGGTCCCAAACACCACAAAAAATAAAGTTCGTAGCTTTGTTATACATAGTAGTGTATGCCTATAAGTCCAGCTATTGAAAGATGGAGGCAGGAAGATCCAGAGTTTGGGGCCAGATCATGGAAAAGGAATAAGACCCTGTCTCAAAAACAAAATAAAAACAAAAGAGCTGGGGGCACAGCTCAAGTGATAGAGCAGTAAAGCACTGTGTAGCATGCAGGAGGCCCTGGGTTCATTCACCAATACAGAATAAAAAAAAAAAGTTTCATTGATCATGGAAAGTGATTACATTGTCTCACATTTAACAAGAATACATTCTGCTTGCCTCTTAAATTCTGGCTATAATGAATATACAGCAATATATCATTATTTTATGTTATCTTGAAAATCAGAATATAAAATGGGATTGCAAAAATCTACATAGGAAACCACACTAGACAAATACTTAGACAATATGAACATTAAGCTTAGAATGGCAGCACATTCCTATAGCACTTGGAGACTGAAGCAGGAGGACCAAGAATTCAAGGCCACCCTGGGCTATATAGCCAGACACTGCCAAAGAAAGAAAGAAAAAAAGAAAGGGGACAGAGCAGAAGGGGAGGGGAGGGAAGGGGAAGGAAAGAAAAAGGAAAGGAAGAAATACGTACATTAAAATGATAATATTGGGGCTGGAAGAGTGACTCAAGTGTTAGAGCGCTGAGGCCCTGAGTACAAATTCTAGTACCACCAAAAATAATAATAATAAGGTTGAATTGAAGTGACAGGATTATGAGTGATTTATTTTGCCAGTTTTCTATTATATAATTGTTACTTTGATCATTGTGATTAAATGAATAAAATTTCTTTTGAAAACTATAACATTACAACATAATTATTTAATAAGTTCCCGATTGTTTTGCTAAGACTAAAAACAATTAACATTAAATTCTCCATTTTAATTAACATTAAAACTCCATTTTCTTGTAAAAGTATTTCCTATACTTTTGAAATTCTGAGCTGACTAAATTCTAGGAGGAGAGTGGTACTCTGTAGAGAAACAATAGAAGAAATATAAAATAATCCATCTCTTTATTTCTTTGCATTTGTTATAGAGAAAAAAAGTATGTGGGTAAAGTCTAAGTAAATTAATGGCAGTTTACAGGCCATAATTTGGACAAATAGAGTTTATAATCTAAAAATCAGCTCTAAACCAGGTGTGGTGGGTCAAGCCTATAATCCTAGCTACTTGGGAGACTGAGATCAAGAGAATCACAGTTCAGAGCCAGCCTGTACAAAAAGTTCATGAGCCCCCCCACCCCCACCCCAACCAGTGGCTTGATGCAGTGGGATGAACCTGTCATCCCCAGCTAAAGTGGGGAATTGAAAATAGGACGATCACAGTCCAGGCTGGCCTGGACATAAAGCAACACTTTAATCTCACAAATTACCAACACAAAAAGTGTTGGCTTAAGTGGTAGAGTGCCTACCTAGCAAGTACAAGATCCAGAATTCAGCTCCTGGTATTTGCCAGAAAATAAATAAAAATCAGCTCCAAAGCATATAAGTGGGAACATACATGGATAATAAGAACAAGGACTGTAACAGGGTATATTGGTTCATGACCATAATCTCAACACTCAGGAGACTGAGGCAGGAGGTTATTGAGTTCAAGGTTAGCCTGGGCTGCATAGCAAGACATTGTCACAAAGGAAAAAAAAGGAAGAGGAGGACTATAAGGCATAGAGATGATTCCTTCCAGTCAAAAAGTCTCCAGATTATGTTGACAATCAGGAAGTATCTGTGGGTAGCATGTATGTGAAACTATCAATACCTACATCATCATTATACAACCTTACAGCATTCACTCATCTATTCAAAGTTCTCTGTGTGCTGCCAGTGAGTTCATTTATTCACACACACACACACACACACACACACGTCTATCATCTGACCACTCAAACTGAGTCTTTAAACCAAATCACAAATAGAGTACAGACAGATAGTTTTACAGGAGAAATATGTCCCTTAAAAGTTGAAAGTAAGTCAATTTTGCATTAAATTGTGCATATAAAATTAGATGGATTAAAATGTGAACAAACATGCTTAGAAACAAGTTTATAACAGAAATCACAGTGAAGTCGAGAGTTTTTTTTTAATCTGCAACCCAAAAGAATTAAGAATTTCTCTACTGCTTTAGCAATAATATTCCAATTGTGTTTCAAAGTACCAAAAGTATCATCTAACAAACATTGTTCCAATTGCTGGGTGTGGGGATCATGCCTGCAACCCCAGCACTTGGGAGGCTAAGGCAGGAGGACAGAAAGTTCTAGGCCAGCCCGGGGTACATAGTGAGGTCTTGTCTCAAAAAAAAGTCAAGATTTTCAAAGTTAGGTCAAATACTCATGTGCCCAAGCAACTAATAAATAAAGCTGAAGAATAAATGTCTAGTGAATCTCATTAGAGATTTTTGAAAGCCTATTATCTTTAAGAAACTTAGTAGAGCTGGTTCCATAGATTTAATATATGCATACATGTATTTATATTTGTTCATAAAGTCAAGAAGTAACTTCAGAATACTACAAACATGGAAGCAGATTCTTGGTTACCTCTGCAGGAAGTAAACAGAACAGGGTATCAGAAGGGCAAGACCATTCACTACATATTTTTTCCGTTAATTTTATGTTTGAATCATGTCAGTGCATTTTATAAAAATAAACATTTATCTAAGCCTAAAGGTTAAATGTCTAACACTTATGCCTCGACAAAGCACAGCTAAACTTACATTTGTAGTTCATGGAGCCAATATAAACTTTTTGCCATGGTTCTTCCATCATTAAAATGTGGTGTTGGGACTCCAAACAAGTTAAACCTATGGAAACTTGATGAGTTATACTTTCGGTTCTTTGCTTCTCCTGTGAGGGGTGAGAGGGATGGAGGAAAACTTCTCACTCAAATAACCTTATCTGGCAAGAGCACATTATGTTCTTGTTGACATTGAAAATGGGACTAGGACAAAGAATGAACTTGTACATTTGGCTACAGACAACAGAAGCATTCCCCCACATGAGCTGAAGACTGGTGGAATGCCACACATAAGAGTTCCTTGTGCTAATATTTGGAAAGCGATATGTGGAAAACCCAATAAACCACTGCCTACCAGAAAAATAAATCAAGAAAACAATCCCATTTACAACACCATCAATCAATAAATACAATACTTAGGAATAAATTTAGATGTTGATTGCCGTGCTGGAGGATCAAGCCCAGGGCCTGGTGCATGCTAGGCAAGTGCTCTACCACTGAGCTGCATCTCCAGCCCTCTGTGCTCTGAAGCAGGACCTCACTATGTTGCCCAGGCTAGCCTTGAACTCCTACACTCAAGTGATTCTCCTACCTCAGCCTCATGAGTAGCTTGACTACAGGTGCACACACCACCATGCCTAGAATTTAGGAATAAATTCAACATAGAAAGTGAAAGACCTATATATTGAAACCTATAAAATATTGACAAAAAAAACTGAACAGGATACAAATAAATAGAAACATTCCATGTTCCTGGATTAGGAGAATTTATATGTTAAAATGTCTATATTACAGATATAGACAATATACAGATTCAACTCAATTCCTATCAAAATTCCAGTAGCATGCTTCACAGAAACAGAAAAAAATATATACTAAAAAAATATATACTAAAATTCTTATGGAACCACACAAGACCTCAAACAACCAAAGCTATTCTGAGAAAGAGAAGGTTAGCAGCATCAGACTTTCTGATTTAAAGTCATGTAACAGGGGCTAGGGATGTAGCTAGCATGTTTAATGCTAGCTATACATGTAATGCATGTGTTCAGCAGACACAAGGCCCTGGCTTAATCCTCAGCACCAAAAATTGTATTACAAAGCTATTGTGATCAAAACAAGATGGTACTGGCATAAAAACTGACACATAAGCTGGGTATGGTGGTGCATACCTGTAATTCCAGCACTCGGGAGGCTGAGACTGGAGGATTTCGAGAGCAAGGTCAGTCAAGCCACATAGTGAGACCTTTCTTGAAACAAACAAAAAAGCATACGCAGGAGGCAGAGCTTAGTAGGATAACAGTTAGAGGCCAGCCTATCAAACAACAAAAAAAAAGACAACAAAAAGCAAGACCCTGTCTCAAAAATAGCCAACATAAAACAGGGCTGGTGGGAGTGGCTCAAGTAATAGAAGGACTGTCTATCACATGAGGCCATGAGTTCAAACTCCAGTACTGCAAAAAAAAAAAAAAAAAAAAGACGCATAGCCCAGTAGCACAGAATAGAGATCTCACAAAATAAACTCAAATATATATATCGACTGATTGTTGACAAACACCCAAACAGAACACAATGAATAACGGATAGACCTAACAATAAATCATCCTAGAAAAACTAGGTTTTTATTTATTTTTTTTTATTCATATGTGCATACAATGCTTGGGTCATTTCTCCCCACTTCCCCCACCCCCTCCCTTACCTTCCCCGTCCCCTCCCTTTCTCCCCCACCCCCTCGCTACCCGGCAGAAACTATTTTGCCCTTATCTCTAATTTTGTTGAAGAGAGAGTATAAGCAATAATAGGAAGGAACAAGGGTTTTTGCTAGTTGAGATAAGGATAGCTATACAGGGAGTTGATCACATTAATTTCCTGTGCATGTGTGTTACCTTCTAGGTTAATTCTGAAAAACTAGGTTTTTACTTGGAAAAGATTGAAATTGGGGCTGGCAGAGTGGCTCAAGTAGTAAGAGCACCTGCCTACCAAGTGTGAGGCCCTGAGTTCAAATCCCAGTTCTGCCAAAAAACAGAGAATTAAATTGGACCATTAGTTGTACCATAACAAACATCAACTCAAAATTGATAAGAGAGCTAAACTTAAGACCTGAACCCATAAAAATCCTAGAAGAAAACGTAAGGGTAAAGCTTCATATCAGCCTTGGTGATGATTTCTTTCTTGGTGATGAATACCACTCCACGAATTCAGGCCACAAAAGCAAAAAATAAATTGAAGAATACCTAAACAACTAAAAACTTCTCCCCAACAAAGGAAGCAATCAACAAAATGAAAGTCAACATACAGACAGAGAAAAAAATTTCCAACCATATATGTGAGACTAATATCCAAAATTCATAAAAGACATATGTAACTCAATAGCAAGAAAACATATAAAGATAGGCAAAGAGCCTTAATACTTAGAAAGCAAGCAGGGAAATTATGTGAGACAAAGACAGATATTAATGATGACAACATACAGGCCCACACTGTCACAGAAGACCTGAGGATGGAGGGTGCTGGGGGTGGAGCAACTGCAATGTTGCAAGTTCCCAGCAGTACTTTCTGCTAGGCTAAAATTTGACAGGCTGATGTTTTTCATACTTGTTCTCACTGAGATTTTGGGAGATCATCAGAGCATTGCAACCTTCATATTTCATTGTGATCATTTATATTAGAAACATTCAGTATGCACAAATGAATAAAAGAAATAAATTTTTTTTAAAAAAGAACATTCATTCAAAGGATGATTGAGGGCTGAGAAAACAACAGAGAGGTCTTTTGTTTAAAGATCTAATGCTACACTTTTGTTCTTTTCAGGTCTTGATGTGGTATTTTTTATTTTGAAATAAGAAAGCAGGACTAAAACTACAGAACAACTAAGAGGGGTAAGAAATGAAGGACAAAAGATTCTCAGCCTTGCTGAATACATGTGTTGTAAATAAAAACAGTAACAAGAAAGCACAGTTGTCTCTCAGTTAAGAGAAAATAAAGATTAGCTAAACTCATTCTTGGGTGGGTGGGGGTCACAGGAATTCTCATACATTGCTCAGTGTGAAGAAAAACTCGAGCAGTTATTCAGGAAAACAATTTGTCTCTATGAGTGAAAATTTCAAATGCTCAGAAATCTAGGGTTATATCTTAAATAAACAGCAGGTCACATTCACAAAGGAATATAACAATATAGTTCTATAAAATACTGAAAAGTATGAAATAGATACCAACATGAATAAGCATTCCAAAATATTTCAAAACACACAAAAAAACCAAAGGGGAAAAAAAGTGTACAGATATTAAATGGATTAAAATACACATATACAAAGGCTGGGAATGTAGCTCAGTGATAAGAGTGCTTGTCTGGCATGTACAAGGCCCTGGGTTCAATCTCCAGCACCACCACCACTCTCCAAAAAAATCACAAAATTCATAGCCAGGCATGGTCGCACAGGCCTGGAATCCCAGCACTCAGGAGGCTAAGCCCCAAGAGTTCCAGACCAGCCTGAGTAATCCCATTTAAAAATTCTTTTAAGGTAACAAAGCTAACATTTTCACAAACAAAAAGGAGGAAGGAAGGCAGGAAGGAAGGAAGGCAGGAAGGCAGGCTAGGGATGCAGAAGGGGTAGAGATATGGAGAGAAGTCAAGGACCTGAGAAAGAATATGGTATCCAAGTGGGTAGGAACAGTGCCAGTCTGAGTAGAAGGTAGAGACTGTCTCAGGACTTCACACATTAAGGAGTGTATGGAACCAGTAGGGATTAGCTATACAGCAAAGAATGGCAGAGTGCAGATGACGCTTTCTTAAGACCGGTATCAGAGTCTGATTCTCAATCCTCTATTAGCATCTAACACCAACACATTGTCAATTTGTTAGTATTTTAAGCATCACAAAACTGAATGCCTAGCTTCCAGTTACAATTAATATAAACTAATAAAAAAGAAAAAATCTAATGCCTTTTATTTGTGTTATAGAATTCTGGCAATGTGATACTATTGGACAGGAATACTTAGTGATGCTAACAATGGTTATGAACACTGTCCGTGCCCCAGGCACTATGCTGGGCATTTTGAGTGTTTAATCCTCACAGTTTATTATACCTGTTTAAGGAATAAGAATAGGTGATGATCAGATAAGTGAATTGCCCAAGTTCTAAAAGACAGTAAATGGATGAGCTATTATTTGAATCTGACCTAGTTAATTCAAAAATTTGTACATTCATCTAAAATTCAGCACTAAAATAAGCCTAACATTTACCCAATGTGGTGCAAGCCTATAGGCCTAGCACCTTGGGAGGCTGAAGCAGGAGGAACACTTGAGCCCAGGAGTTCAAGACCAACCTCAGCAACAGAGAAACCATTTATCAAAATAATAATAACAAAGAGAAGAATAGTAAGTCTGACATTTAAATAAGAATAGTAATATTTTCACCTAAAACCACTAAACCAAATAGCAGCACATAACATCTCATCTTTTTAGCTGTTTTTTCATTTTAATAACACATATTTTCTATAGAAAATGTATATTTGTTCCCAGCTACCAGGGTGTGTAACCTCATGAATAATAATAATAATAATAATAATAATATTATCATTCACTGATCATCATTTATATGCCAGGCCTTTAGCTCTATACATATTATCTCCTTACTCCTCTGCAGCGTCCCATATCCTTAGGCATTTTGCACTGGCAGAGACTTACCTACATAGTAATCATTGTGAGAAATGATGTACAAATCGTGTCCTTCCCTTCCTTCTTTAAATACTTGCTCATAGGATTTTGGTGGATTCACTACATCTCTAGCAGACAATTCTGATAGAAGAATCAATGAAGTCAGTTTTAGGACTTTTCTCATCTATTTATAATGTACTTGAGTTGACTAGAACAAATAACAAATGAGTAATGCTGATTGCATAAGCTACACAGACATTGTGGGAGATCATAAAAGACAAGACAAGACATAGTCACTTTGCTAGAGAGCTCTATTTGACCTCGCTCACTCCCTAGAATTCTGAATAATAAAAGTTCATTAACAGTTAACCATCTAGGTTGTCCCAAGCCATGTTCCAAGCTCAGTAAAATTCCCAATCCTATGACTTTTCTAGACAATTTTGATATTAGTTTATTCCCGACTCTTAAAATAATCTAAGCAAAACTGAACTACTAATTAGAGATACTGATGTCCTGTGGAGTATGCCAGGTACAATTTTTGGCAGCCATAGACTGCAGCACATACCCTGACTTTGTTTTGATCTGAACCTCCATCCTCAACATAGCCAGAGATACCAGGGAAAGCACTGGAATCAGGAAGAAATTATTTTTCCTACTGGATTCAAACCTAAATAAGATGTTTGTTTAACAGTTGCTTTCCCATGGCTGGTACTCCTCCATTTTACATACAATGAATTACTTGTTTTCATTGTTTTACCTAATAGTTTTAAAATATAACTCCATTTACTATTTCATTATTCCTTTTCAACCTAACAACACAGATTGGAAGTGCCCTTTCTTACTGGGCGCTGTGGCTCATACCTATAATGCCAGCAGGGAGGTGGAAAAGGAAAGGATAGTGGTTTTTGTCAGCTCCAGGCCAAAACAAAATTATTGAGAACACATCTCAACAAACAAGCCAGGTGTGGTAATACACACCTATAGCAGGATCAAAATTTCAGGCCAGCTCTGAGCAAAAAGCAGAACACCATATCTGAAAAATAATCTAAAGCAAAAAGGTAGGCATGGCTCAAGTGGAAGAGCCCTCACCTAGCAAGCAAAAGATCCTGAGTTCAAGCTCCAGGACTGCAAAAAACAAACAAAAATATATTTTCTTTCTTTTCACTTGTCTGCCAAGATTTGAGGTCTATAAACTAGTAGTTGAAGATATCAAAAGGCAGGGCTGGTGGTGTAACTCAGTGGTTGAGCACTTGCCTGGTAAACATGAGACCCTGGGTTTGATTCTCAACACCAAAAAGGAATACCAGAAGGCAGTCCCACTTAAATTTATCTTATAAATGAGTACTTCTTTTTGACACCTGCTAATACAGAGACACACGTTTGAAGCATTGTTTCATATATATATATAACATATAGAGAGTACTTTCCATACTAAACGAACTAATCCTGGACAAATTCAATGCAACTCTTTTTCGTTATTGTTGTTTTTATTGTTTGGTTGGTTGGGGTTTTGGGAACTTTTTTTTTTTGGTGGTACTGAGCTTTGAACTCAGGGCCTTGTGTTTGCCAGGCAATTGCTCAATCACTTGAGACATGACCTCAGCCCTGAAACTAATCATAGATGGCAGTATTGTATAATTACTATAATGCAGTTCACATAAGTAGGATTTTTAGTCCTATTGTAAAGAAAAAGATATTCTGTCCCTTCTAAAATACATTTTGCATGTTTCAAATTTTAACAGATTTTAACTTTAGATTGATTCAATAAGCACTCTTCAGAATGGATGTTGCTACCCTAAGGACAATAATCTAAAGGTCTTTTGATAAGAAAATTTTAAATAATTTTTTAAAAATTATTAAAAATAATTTTAAAAATTATTTAAAAATAATTTTAAAAAGACTCCCAGCATCATGACAGGAGACTTGGCCTTTAGAAAGAATGGCCTGTGGTCAAGTCTAATATAAGTTACTATCTGTTGAAAGATGTTGATCTATCCCATCTCAAAATCAGAGTGAAAGCTGACTACACATTCTGTCCTGTGTTTGGTTACTATGAGATGTGCATCATAAATTTGTAAGGATGGAGTGTGATATGAAGCATGTACCAAACATATTTGTTTCATGACTCACAAAGAGATGAGAATCATGAAAACATCAGAGGCACTAAAGGAAATAAAATGAATGCATGAATGTCCAGATGGATGCACAGCTGGCTCCAATGCCAACTTTTCTGAATCTTTTTCCTATTACTACACCATGTCTACTATGCTCACCATATCTCCACTTCAAAACCTCAGTTTTTACTGCTTTGGTACACAAAAACTCTAAGGACTTGGGTTCACAAAGTAACCTTCTTGCTATGATCCCACCTTTCATTCTTGGATAATTGGTTACACCATTACCAAAAACTACGCTGATGATATATTTATTCCAACTTTCCAAAAAGACTTATTTACTCCCTCCCACCCACTTCTCTCCCCACCTTTGTTCTTTAACTACCTCTAATGACTGCTGTCCCAAATGTCGTATTGATTATATCCAGTCCTTTAGGTAATCCTGGTGTTTGATCATGAGATTTTCCTAATGGTGCCCGTTGATTACTTAAATATACAGATTCTTTTTTATCTTCAACTTTCTGTTGAAATGTGGTAATAGGCTGTGGATTTATCAATGTGCTTACCTAAAGAAATCACATAATGCACAGATATATCAAAAAAAAAGCATAAATCTGACAACTAAAGCCCTGATCAATAGCTAGGAGGAAATATGATTATGGAAAAATATTTCATCATCATTGGCTTTGCTCACCTTCAATTGAACAATCAGAATTGGTACTACAAAGCATGCCTAAAAAAGAACTTTCAGAGAAGTTAAAGTTCAATAGGCTTATGAAGGGAGCTCCCATATGACTTGACTTAAGTATTCAAGAAAATGGGAAACGATAAGCACAAGAATCAAGTAACTCTCACAAGTTCTCTTAAAACATGTGGGTCAGGTCTTCTGGATCTAGACTACCCATTCAATCAATAGCAGATAGCAACATAACTCCATCTCTCCTTAACAATGTCTGTATAAGCACTCTGTATTGCCTTCTCAGCAAGAGTCCAAGACTATCCTCTTTATTCTGTAACAAAGTCTGACAGCCTTTCTTTTCCTGGGACAAAATGGAATGTAACTTGCCTTTTATCATCTGAAAGAGGAATAAAGCGTTTGTGGTTTAAACCATTAATTTTCTTCACACTCTCTTGGCTACAGATTGGATTTTTTCATTGCCCAACATTAATGCTTTTAGAGGACAGATTGAGGAAAGGCTGGTAAAAATGTGGGTCGGGAAGATTGGAACTGATTTCACTACTTCTTCATTGTTAAGTTTTCACCTTGGTACACTAATAATCTATAGGGGAAAAAGAAAAGAAGTTACCGGTACTGAAAGTTTAGATTTTATTCCATGTATCAAACAAGGTGCAATTTGGGGATCATTTGCTCTGCCATAAAATACTCTTTCTGCTCCAAGAGATGGATATCTGAAGTTGAAATATTTTTTTGTCTCTGGTGGAGTAACCAGCTACAAAGAATGAAACAAGAAAACAGAACCAGTAAGTACAATTTTGTAAATATTTGAACTTCTCAAAATTGAACTTCTCTATAGCAACCAATGAATGCCCTTAATTTCATGAGTGCAGCCCCAAATATTTCCCCTAAAACTTGTTTACTTATGGAAATAAACTATTTTAAAACATTATTCCCCCTAAAGACTTGTTTACTTATGGAAAAAACCTATTTCTAAAAGGTTCATATTTAGAAAACAAACCAGGAAGTTAATCCAAAGTTAGACAATTAACAGTCAGTTATTCCTTAGTGAAATAAATTGAATCCCTGTTTTTGGTTGAGGCATGGCTAAAATAGGCCAAGTTCAATCAATGCACAAAAAAAAATATTACAGCTCAGATTACCCATACTTTGGCTCAGGGACCAACCCTCACCGTGCCGAGGAGACCGACCATGCCCCACTCATTGGATTATGGATGGGAAAATCACTCTGGTGTCCTCCTTCCCACCTACGATTTAAGCGTAATGTTTTAAAGCACCCTGAGAAGAAAGCGAAAGCTCTCTCGCTCTCTCTTGGCCAACATGCCCCCTCTTGTATTTCCCTTCCCTGACTTTAAAACTCCCTTTGCACCTATATGTCCTGCCATGGATTCTTCCATGAGGGACAAAGAATTTGGAACACAGACAGAACTGGCTCTGTTAACAGTTTCTGTAGAACTAAAAAATGTAACTTGGAAATTTTCAGTTCTTGGACACAAATCAAACTGGACGAAGAATTCATGTACACGAGTAAGCAATTCCAAATGACGCACATAAAGTCTTAAATCCAGTTTTGCCAAAGGCACTGATTGAGCAGTTCATCTCCCTAATGAGTCAAAGGTACAACACAAGACACATGACAGTCCAATATGGAAAAGGGCTCACCCTAGGAAGTCTTTCAGTCAAACAGGTTGCAACTCTGTGTCCAATCGGATGAACTTTTCCTGCCTAAGAGGAGAAAAATAATATTGATCATTGCCAGGGTAGAAGATGAGTATTTTAAAGAATGAAATTTATTTCAAATTTGGACTTGTGCTTCTTGAACTCGCACTAACATCAAGTTACTCTTCTGACTCTGAAAAACAAGAGAAAACATAGTAAAAATCAAAGACAATTAATGAATATACAGACCTATAAAACTGTTACATATACTATATACCTCTACTACATATGAGTATAATAAATTACCCGACATTATGTATATAAAAGATAAGAGTAGAATATATACTTCAATATCAATAAATCATAATTTATTATAATATAATAAAATTATATGTAATATATAATAGTATATATATACTCAAATATATATTAGAATATATATTCTGATATACTCTAATATAAGTATACTTTCTTACAGGGCTAACACTGTCAGTGATTCATCCAATTGCAGAAACTCTGTGACAGGCGTGAGATGATTCAAATCTTCTCAGAACACAAATCTTGGACATTAGTACAGAAATTATTTTTTCAGTGTTCTATATCATCAGTGAAATGGATGTATGGCTGCATTTAGTGAGGATCAAGAAAAAGCTTTTAGGGGCTGGAAGCGTGGTTCAAGCAGTAGAGTGTGGGGGTATATATCTAATATTATGTTTTTTTCTTTTTATGCAGGGTCTCCTTATATTCAATGACTGGCTCAAATCTTACTTGACTTCGTCCACTTAATTGTAATTTAGGTCTTATCTGTCCTTCCTTTGCCCATGAAAAAGATTATAATTGTTCACCCTAGAAATGCAATTCATATCTACTTCCCCTTTATCTTATTTTAAGGCAACTGATATTTTTGCAAGGTGAAAGTTTCTCTTTCAAAATTTAAGAGAAAATCATAGAGTGCTCTGGGCTGGGTGTGGTGGCACAAGCCTAGACACCCAGCAATTGGGAGACTGAAACAGGAGGGTAGTGAGCTCCAAGCCAGCCTGGGCTACATAGAAAGACACTGTCTCAATAAAAAGAAGAGGAAAAAGAGCATTCTGGATTTCCAAAGAGAGAGAGGTAGAAATACTGAGACTTGAGTGGAGTGGATGGGTGAGGGTTGGCAGGGGATAAATAGATTATGAACAGAGCAATGACTGGATGAGCATATAAATAGATAGATAATAGACAGAGACAGAGACAGAGAGAGATGAGTAGGTAAAAGATTTTGTATTATGTTAAGTGTTGAGTGCAAAATTCCTTTTAGTGGGAAGTGCCATCAGGGTTGGAGAGAGTATCTTGATAACATTGCTGGAAGCTTGCAAACATGGCCAGCCAGAAAGCTCAATCACTTTGCTAAAAACTAAAAGAAAGCAGAAAGGGTTTAAGAAGATGGCAAGTAAATTGAGAAGGTAGATGGAGGCCATGATATATCAGCAGGGTGAGAGGCCAAGGGGCAGAACTGGGAAACTGGCCAGTGACAAACAGTCTAATCTTAATGACAAATCTTAAGTAAATTCTTCTCACACAATTATATATATATACATATATATATATGAAAATCAATAAACGTAATAAACCACAGAAGCAAAGACAAAAACCACTTGATCATCTCAATAGATGCAGAAAAGGCCTTTGATAAGATCCAACACCATTTCATGATAAAAGCTCTAAGAAAACTAGGAATAGAAGGAAAGTTCCTAAACATTATAAAAGCTATATATGACAAACCTACAGCCAGCATTATAGTTAACGGAAAAAAACTGAAACCATTCCCTCTAAAATCAGGAACCAGACAAGGATGCCCACCATCTCCACTCCTATTCAACATAGTACTGGAATTCCTAGCCAGAGCAATTAGGCAAGAAGAAGGAATAAAAGGAATACAAATAGGTAAAGAAACTGTCAAAATATCCCTATTTGCAGATGACATGATCCTATACTCTTAAAGACCCAAAAAACTCTACTCAGAAGCTTCTAGACATCATCAATAGCTATAGCAAGGTAGCAGGATATAAAATCAACATAGAAAAATCATTAGCATTTCTATACACTAACAATGAGCAAACTGAAAAGAAATGTATGAAAACAATTCCATTTACTATAGCCACAAAAAAAAAAATCAAATACCTAGGTATAAACCTAACAAAAGATGTGAGAGACCTCTACAAGGAAAACTATACACTTCTGAAGAAAGAGATTGTGGAAGACTATAGAAAGTGGAGAGATCTCCCATGCTCATGGATTGGTAGAATCAACAGAGTAAAAATGTCGATACTCCCAAAAGTAATCTACATGTTTAATGCAATTCCCATCAAAATTCCAATGACATTCATTAAAGAGATTGAAAATCTACTGTAAATTATATGGAAACACAAGAGGCCACGAATAGCCAAGGCAATACTCAGTCAAAAGAAAATGCAGGGGTATCACAATACCTGACTTCAAACTATATTACAAAGCAATAACAATAAAAACAGCATGGTACTGGCACAAAAACAGACATGAAGACCAGTGGAACAGAATAGAGGACCCAGATATGAAGCCACACAACTATAACCAACTTGTCTTTGACAAAGGAGCTAAAAATATACGATGGAGAAATAGCAGTCTCTTCAACAAAAACTGCTGGGAAAACTGGTTAGCAGTCTGCAAAAAACTGAAACTAGATCCATGTATATCACCCTATACCAATATTAACTCAAAATGGATCAAGGATCTTAATATCAGACCACAAACTCTAAAGTTGATACAGGAAAGAGTAGGAAATACTCTGGAGTTAGTAGGTATAGGTAAGAACTTTCTCAACGAAACCCCAGCAGCACAGCAACTAAGAGCATAGATAAATGGTACCTCATAAAGCTAAAAAGCTTCTGTTCCTCAAAAGAAATGGTCTCTAAACTGAAGAGAACACCCACAGAGTGGGAGAAAATATTTGCCAACTATGCATCAGACAAAGGACTGATAACCAGAATATATAGGGAACTTAAAAAACTAAATTCTCCCAAAATTAATGAACCAATAAAGAAATGGGCAAGTGAACTAAACAGCACTTTCTCAAAAAGAAAAATTCAAATGGCCAAAAAACACATGAAAAAATGCTCACCATCTCTAGCATTAAAGGAAATGCAAATTAAAACCACACTAAGATTCCACCTCACCCCTGTTAGAATAGCCATCATCAGCAACACCACCAACAACAGGTGTTGGCGAGGATGCGGGGGAAAAAAGGAACCCTCTTACACTGTTGTTGGGAATGTAAACTAGTACAACCACTCTGGAAAAAAATTTGGAGGCTACTTAAAAAGCTAAACATTGATCTACCATTTGATCCAGCAATACCACTCTTGGGGATATACCCAAAGACTGTGACACAGATTACTCCAGAGGCACCTGCACACCCATGTTTATTGCGGCACTATTCACAATAGCCAAGTTATGGAAACAGTCAAGATGCCCCACCACTGACGAATGGATTAAGAAAATGTGGTATCTATACACAATGGAATTTTATGCAGCCATGAAGAAGAATGAAATGTTATCATTCGCTAGTAAATGGATGAACATCATTCTGAGTGAGGTTAGCCTGGCCCAAAAGACCAAAAATTGTATGTTCTCCCTTATATGTGGATGTTAGATCAAGGGCAAACACAACAATGGGATTGGACTTTGAGCACATGATAAAAGTGAGAGCACACAAGGGAGGGGTAAGGATAGGTAAGACACCTAAAAAACTAGATAGCATTTGTTGCCCTTAACGCAGAGAAACTAAAGCAGATACCTTAAAAGCAACTGAGGCCAATAGGAAAAGGGGACCAGGAACTAGAGAAAAGGTTAGATCAAAAAGAATTAACCTAGAAGGTAACACACACACACACACACAGGAAATCAATGTGAGTCAACTCCCTGTATAGCTGTCCTTATCTCAACCAGCAAAAACCCTTGTTCCTTCCTGTTATTGCTTATACTCTCTCTACAACAAAATTAGAAATAAGGGCAAAATAGTTTCTGCCGGGTATTGAGGTGGTGAGGGGGAGAGGGAGGGGGCAGTGGGTGGTAAGGGAGGGGTGGGGGCAGGGGGGAGAAATGACCCAAGCCTTGTATGCACATATGAATAATAAAAGAATAAATAAATAAATAAATAAATAATAAATAAAAGAAAGAAAGAAGGGATGGCAGGCAAGTTGGTGTCTCATTATCTATGTCAAAACACTAGGCTTGGGCTGGAAGTATGGCTTAACTGGTAAAGCATCTGCATACCCTGAGTGAAAGGCCCTGAATTCAAACTGTAGTCCTGGAAAAAAATAAGGCTCACCAGGTATGGGGGTACATGCCTGTAAACCCAGCACTTGGGAAGAAGAAGCAGGAGGATCTTAAGTTTGAGGCCAGCCTGGACTACTCTACCACAAAAAACTACCACCTCAAAAAATATTAGATACTACAAAAATTTTAGTAGCTTTGTGCTTATTGCAGGACTCGAAGATTCTTGGGAATTGTTTATAGGACAATCAGGTTTTTAGACCACCTTTATTTCGTGAGGATCTCTAATAGCAATTTTTCTTCCTCCAGGCTATTAAGATTTCCCAGAGAATAGTAGTAATGATAATAACAGTTGGCACTTCTAAGGCACATATCATGAGGACACTGTGCTAAGCATTTCAGATGTAGTAACTATTTAATGCTAATCAGTTCTCTAAGTTTGGTACTATTAACATCGCCATCTCCTCTGTAAGCAAATTGAGGCTTAGGGAGGCTGAGTAACAGGGCTGCAGGACTTACATGTTGGCAGATATTTGAACTCAAGCAGGCAGACTTCCAAATCTCTATTCTTTTTTTTCAGTACTGGAGTTTGAGCTCAGGGCCTCAGGCTTACTAGGCAGGTGCACTGCCACTTAAGCCACTCCACCAGCCCCAAATCTTTTCTTATTCACAATTCTCTACTGTCTATGAACTGCCTGTTGGCTGAAGCACTGGCTTGACTCCCGGCTGCTGGTCCGAGGGAAAGGAAACTGGAAGGAGCCACATTACAGAAACTGCACTTTTACTTACTAATAACCCCCTTCCCACCCCTGCTGCCTTACTTTGGGCATGATGTCTCTAATTCCATACATATTTGAGGAAATAGATCCGTAGTTTTGGTGGAAGGGATTGGGAGCTGGTGTGACAGAGAGAGGGCACTGAGGATTCACTGACCTGAATATGAGCTGTCAGTCCTCTATTTTCAGACTCACGCTTTCCTACACCTTCTTCCAAGTTTGGAACTTCTCACGGCTTGCTCCAGACAAACTGGATAATTTCTGATGGCAATTACACCTGATTCCTTCAAATTGCATTTTCCCAGCCAGGCGTAGTGATCAACACCTGCAATCCTAGCTTCTTGGGAGGCAGAGGTAGGAGAATCACAAGTTGGAGCCCAGCTTGAGCAAAGGTAGTGAGACCCTCTCTCAAAAACCAAAAATTAGAAGGGATGGGGGTGTAGCTTATTCATGAAGTCCTTGGTGTAGGCCCTGGTACCGGAAAATAAATTCCTTTTTTCCTGCTCTGCAGGTTCAGCCACCATGTTCCAATCCTCCTGTTTCCTAAGGTATATTGAAAAGTTTCATCTATCATTGTCTCCTTTTCCTTTTTTTTTATCCTCGTGGCTTATTCTCTTTTTTAAAAAATCTACTGCTGGGCGTGGTGGTATACCCCTGGAATCCCAGCATTTAGGAGACTGAGGCAGGAGGTTCATGAGTTCAAGGCCAGTCTGGATTATATAGCAAGATCTTGTCTCAAAAAAATATATATATAGAAATCAAGATAGGATTTGCCTAGTGAGCATGAGGCTCTGGGATAAAGCTCTAGCACTTCAAACAAAACACTTATCAAAATTTTAATTCTCAAAATTGTACTCTCCTCTTTCCATGGTATTGGCATTTGAATACAGGCCCTTACACTTGCTAGGAAGGTGCTCTACCACTTGAGCCACTCCTCAGCCCTTTTTGCTTTATTTTTCAGGTAGGGTCTCATGCTTCTTGTGTAGGCCAGCCTGGGACCTCAATCCTCTGACCTATGCCTCCCTCATAGCTAGGACTACAGCCAGCTTATTTGTTGGGATGGGGGGGGGTCTTGCTAACTTTTTGCCTGGGCTGGCCTCAAACTTCAATCCTCCTGATCTCCACCTCAGGGTAGTTGGAATTATAGCAGTAAACCACCACACCTGGCATTCTTTCTCCTCTTCATATTTCTGTTAATTTCAGTCCATCATTACTTTGGAATGGCCTTGTAATTTTCTCCCATTCCAGCCCATCATTATTACTGACATCAATATCATCTTTCTAGGGCTGGGAATGTAGTTCAGTAGTAGAATGCTTACCTGGCATGTGTGAAAACCTGGTTGATTCACAATACCACACATAAAAAAAGAGCCCTTTAAAAAGAAAAAAGTTTTGTCTCCAAGGACTATAGGTGTGGCTCAAGCTATAGAGTGTCTGCTTTGCAAGCATAAAACCCTGAGTTCAAATCCCAGTCCCACCAAAAAGAAAAATGAAAGACATAAGATTCAGTATGAATCCAGGTGTGATGATGCAGGCCTCTAATTCCAGCACTAGGGAGGGTGAGGCAGGAGAATCAAGAGCTCACAGCCAACCTGAGCTATACTGCAAATTCAAGGCCATCCTGGACTATGAATGAGATTCTGTCACCCACACTTCCTCCACTTACACACACACACACACACACACAAGATTCAGTGGCTCAAGTGGTAGAATGCCTGCCTAGCAAACCCCAGTACTGCCAAAAAAAAAAAAAAAAGATTCAAGTTGGAGATGTAGCTTAGTGATAGAGCCTTTGCTGAGCATCCACAAGCCCTGGATTCAATCCCCAGTACTGGAAAAAAAAAAAAAAAAGGATTCAGTGTTGATCCTGTATCTATTACTGCCTGAATTCTACATCTTTAGGTCTCTTCTTCATCTCTCAACAGTATGCTGCCTAAACAGAATTATTTATCTCTCCCAAACACAAGTGACTGTGGTCACGCTCCCTGTCTTTCTTTGCCCAAAATGCTTTATTTTTTCCTGCAGTTCTGGAAATGGAACTCAGGAAATGCTTGTATACTAAGCAGGGAATCACCTACCACTGAGTTACATCCCCAGCTGGATACCTTTCAGTGTTAGCTCAAATACAACTTCTTCAGTTAAGCTTTTCTCATCTCCTCTTGTAAAACCTTTCTTCTGAGATTTGTGCATTAAAGAGTGCATTTCTCCTGAGTTCAATCCCCAATACCACCCTCCAAAAAGATGTTTTTTTAAAAGAGTGCATTCCTATGAAGGAAGAGTCATACTTGCTTTCTATTCCTTAGACACCTGTATAATAATCATTTAGTTACTTTCTCCAACACCAGCGTGAGCCAAAACCTAAAGAGCAGAGACCACATACTTTTCACTTTATATTGCCCTGTACCCAGCCTACAAGTCTTTCCTGGAAGAACAAATAACTCCAAGAGTAAATATATTGATATTAGAGAACAAGATGTATCTCAACATGTGAGAGGGTTGAGAAAACAAATATTGGGGAAAGCAACAAAAGTCACAGAGAAATGAAGAAATCAGGAAAGACCGATTGTGTGCAAAGAACACGATGCTGTCACTAGGAAGGGAGGCAGAGAACCAGGGGATATCAGACAAAGTAACATCTGGAAAGATTCCAGGGGGCTAGAATCCCAATGAAATCCTTGTGATTGGATTAAGAAACCCAAACATGTCTCATCACCTTATCATCTCGATAAAGACATGGCTATAGATAGCACTTCAAGAAAGTACTATGAGGGAACAAAGAAAACTTACACTTGGGCAGCAAGGCATCCGATCAAAAAACTTCCCAGAGTATATGGGTCTGATGGAATCTGGAGGTTCTATTCCTGGTTCAGTGTTTTCAGCCTCCTTTTTCTCTTCAGGTGGTTGGAAAAACTGGTACTGGGGAGGTTCTATCACCAAGCCCATCTGGAGATCTGTATCCTTCTTTTCATCTGGCTCCTCCACTTGGGGCAGCCCAGTGTCAACCGCCACAAGGCAGTTCATCTTTGTGCTGGGTTTCACCACAACACAGGTAGGCTCTGTTTCCACTTCCTTTCTTGGTTCCAAACCTAAAACAGATTGCTTTTCCACTAAAGCCTCTATCCTTTCAGAACCACTAGCCATAGGCCCCCTCCTGCTCCCTACAGCCTGTGGACTTGTATGCGCCATGCCCAAGGAAGGCTGTATTTCCCTTCCATGGGGACACCCTGGCAGAAGACACTCATTTTCTAACCCTACCCTTCCTGGTAACCTACCCAGAGATTGTGTTCCCGGGGAGTCTGCGACCCTGTTGATACCTAAATTACTCTTCTCCCTGGGTGTCCTGGAAATAGTCTGTCTTTCTAATTCCATTTCTAGCCCTGGAAATTTTGTTTCTGGGGATGCCATCCTCTCACAACATTTATTACTAACCACAGAGCTCTCCCTCCACTTGCAATCTTTTTTTCCTAATCCCATTCTTAGTCCCAGCTCCGTGGGAGATTTTGTTCCCATAAGGGTCCTCCTGTCTCCTAAGTCATCTTTTCCTCTATGGGTGAGTCTGACTTCCATGCTTAGAGATTTCCCCCAGACTTCCTCATTCCTGCAAGGGCACTCATCTCTAAGGGGACAGCTATCCCTGGCTCCAGGGAAGTTTTCAATCCCTTGGGGGACCCCACTCTCGGGAAAGAACACATCCCCACTAAGAATCCCTGCCCACCGCTTCCTGCCTGCTACCTAACACATCTAGTGGAGCTGACTAGGGAAAAGGACCCAGAGTCTGTTTACACGGTTACCTGGGAAACAGACTTGGCGAGGGGCGGGGCTTGCCCGGCACTTACTGCTCCGGCGGGTCACCGCCCATCTCTCATTCTCTGTCTTTTAATCTTTCCCTCCTCCCTGTCTTTGTCTCGCCCTGGCTTTCTTTCCCTTTCCTTTGGTCATTTGGTTTCTTTCCTTTTTTTTTTTTTTTTTTAAACTAGATTTGAAGGGCAAGAAAACCTGAGTGATAGAGCAAAAGTTCTCTTTGGGTTCCCAAGCAATGCAGTCCTATTAAGCTGTTTTAGCCGTAGGACTATCCCTGTTTATGGACCTCTTCATGGGAACAAGTAACTTTTGGTTGTGACGACTTCTTTTATGTTCTTCCTTGCCCTCACACTGCAAGTAGTTATTTTAGCGCTAAAAAACTACTTTTTTGTTGGTTGTTCTGACAACCAACAAAGGCCCTCACGTATGCCAGGCAAGCGCTCTACCACTGACTTAAATCCCCAGCACTAAAGAACTACTGTAGCAGTGGTGAAGCACACCCATAAATCCAGCACTCCGGAGGCTGAGGCAGGAGGATGGGGAGTTGGAGGCCAGCCTGGACTACATAGTCAGACACTGTCTCTAAAGTGAATGGGAGATACTATTTCACATTTGTAAAAAGAACTTACTGTAACTTTCTAGTTCATTAATATGCTCTTCTCCCCCTAAGCTCCTTATATGACTTGATAGTGTGTAGTCCCGAATGTTTATAGGGAGGGGTGGTGGGGTCATTGAATCCATGCATTCTACAGCGTTGTGTCAGTGCTGGCAATGTAATGGAATATTAACCAGTCCCTACTCATGGAGTTTACAGTGTGTATGTGTGTGTGTATATGTATATATGTGTGTGTGCGCACATAATACACACACACCAATAAGGACAATAATTTCAGATAGCTGTAAGTGTTGTGAAGAAAACGGGATGCTTCCAGGTGGAAGGAAGCTTTAAAATCAGTAGGCTTAGAAGTCCCTTTGGCTCTTTTGTTTTATTTTGTTAGCTTTTGGTGGCACTGGGGTTTGAACTCAGGGCTTCATACTAGCTAGGCAGGCAAGTAGTCCCTTTGGTAAGTGATATATGAGCTGAGACCAGAATAATGACCTTCAAAGACATAAGCTTTTTAATTAGATTTGGTATTATGGATTGAACTCAGGGTCTCTTGCCAACCACACACCCTACCACTGAGCTATCCCCCAACTCCATTCACAAGCATTTTAAACATGACCAGGTCAAATTTCCACAGCTTTTTCCTCACTGCCTTGACACCATATTTTGTTAGTCACCATTGGTCTCCAAAAAAATTTTAAGTTGTCTCAGTCTCTGCTAAAAATAAATATAAGCTGGGCATGGTGGAATATTCTCATAATCCCAGCACTTGGCAGAATAAGGCACATGGATTGTGAATTCAGGCCTGGCCTGTTTCAAAAATTTTTTAAAAAGCCATTCATTACCATCTAGGCAAAGATTCATTCTTTAGCTACACAAGGGAGGAAAGATTTCCTTAAAAGAAGGTAGGGGATATGAGTTCTATGAGTAGTTGAGAGAAGCCAGGCAGTAGAATTTGGGATTGGGGATTTGAAGAGTTGAGGAAAATATAAGGACTAAGGGCAGTGGCAATACTTAAGTTTTTATTGCTTCATTTAGGCCCATCCATTTTGTAGCTTGCTTAACAAATTCTATCAACTAGTACGATTCCACATTTGACACTAAAAGATATACAATTATCAGTCCTCCTCCATTATCAAGAGTTAGAAAAAAGAAAACACAGACATATTGTGAGTGCCAACCCAACAGCATTTCAATCTCTAAAGTTACTATGGAGCACTTGATAAGCATACACAAGATCCTGGGTTCTGTTCCTAGTACCAACACTAACTAAACTAGATCTTCAGAAGTGCTAGCCACTAAGTCAGCACCCTCCCATGCAAACATGGTGGATAAAATGATGCAGAATATATTCATTGAAATGAACTAAAAAGCAAAATCAGAAAACAAAAGTTAATGAGGAAGTTAATGAGGAAGAAATAGGGAGTTCCTAGCAATTCATAAATTTCAACATCTGGTATGTTATTTGTGATGTCTTAAGTTCAATGTCCATGATCTTAAATATAATTAAATTCAAAAATACTTTTAGGGTCCTTATTACATCAATCAAAGGTCTTTTGTAAGAAACTGAAATAAGTCCCCAACCTTAAAAACTATAATAAAAGGGATTAGAGGCTAAAGAAAGGCTGTGAAATACAGATGTTAGAACCATTACAGAGTGTAAAACTCAGTTTCTCTGCTGTGGTATAAAACTACAAAAAGTACAATAATTAAATGCAGTAGAAGTATCCTCAAATACTATCTAGAGGAACTGGCATCCTAGCTGAAGTGAGACCAGCAGAGTTATGGGTTGTAATGATGCTCCACATAGCGAGAACAAAATGATCAAAGATGCCTAGGTGAGAACACATGGGCAATATTCAGTGAATACGCTATACATGTGGACAAAGGACAAAGCAACATTTGAGGAGATGGAAGCTATAAAAATAAAATGAAAGAAACTGTGAGTTGGGACTAGAGTTGAAGAACTTCAGATACCAGTTATCAAATGCCATTGAACATTTTTGAATAGGAGAATGACTGGCTACAGTGTAAAGAATGGATTGAAAAGGCAAGAATATACATTAATTCTAGTTCATATAAATACTACACATGGCTCACACATTGGGATTAAACTTCAAATCTGAGGATCAGAGAGTTTTTAGTGAGGAATGGATGATAGTTTATGAAGGGAAAAAGGAAGAGCTGAAAATGATACTGCTGTTTGTTTCAAGTCTGGGTGACTTGGAGATTTAGTACATCAGGTTTAGTTTGGGACATGCTGTTGACATGACATTGACATGACAAAATTGATTTGACATATCCTACTTCCTGATTCTTACTGGGATTGTCCACAAGCTATTACCATGAGTAGCATACAACACTGGCACAAGCCCTGGAGGATAAAGTACCACAGATAACATTTACATATGATGCTCTTCTGTAGTAATTAGGGAGTCGATTGGAAGACTGGTTGTTCAAGGGCTTGTATCATCTTCATTGCACAAGGTTGAACAAGCACTCACAGCATACCTTAGCCCAAGTACACGTCAAAGAAACGGCTATAAATTATAAATCACAAACTAAAAAGTAGCCTTTATTCGGAGAGGAAAGCAATTTAACATTCTTCTATCAAATTACAATTTTTTTTCCTGGCTTGGTTTCAGATGTCTCACCAAAGATTAGGGTGTTTAGATTAACCATTAAGCGGGTCTGCAGTTGGAACGTAATGAACATTTTGGGTCGCCTTTCACTGGAGTCTTATTTGAGAACTGCTGTAGCAAGCCTGCAGGTTAGAATACAGCTTCATCACCAAACAGGCAGTGATCTTGGACTCTTGTTACTCAATCCCTATCGCCTCGAATTCTTCAAATGCAAAACAGGCACGCCTCATTCATTCATTCCACAAACATGACCTTGGCTACCGGGCACACGTGTTAACAGCGGTGAGGACCAGAACTTGGGGGTTAGCATCCTAATGAAGGGAGACAGGCAGAATGAACTCAGTGTGAGAATTAAATAGGATAATCCTTGCAAAGCGTTTAGTACAGTAACTCTCAAAAAGAAATTCTGAATACGAGTTTTTATTTTAGGGACTGGAGGTGTGGCTCAATCAGTAGAGTGCCTGTTTTGCAAGCGCAAGACCCTGAGTTCAAGCCCCAGTCCCACCAAAAAGAAAAGAATAAGAGATATTAAGATTTGCCCCTCCCCTCTCCCTACGAACAGGTACATTCTCAATAAAATCAACGTTCTAGTCTCGATTTCGCCGCCTAAAGGCTGCTGTTGGGATGACGACGGTCCTAGTCCACCCAAAATAAATATGACTTACTGCTCTTTACCTACACTCCCATTCCCTGGGATATGGGAGGCGGGGGAGGAAACTCTCGTGCTAGAGAAGACCCTCAAAAAAGCCCCGTTTGCTGAATTGCCAGGATTCAGATGTTTGGGGGAGGGGAGTCTGTGAGCGAATACTCAAGACAGAATCTCAGGGCCTCACGATCTGTGGGCGAAACAAACCAAGTTCTTTAGCTCTTCCGCCAACGCAGGGCGATGAAGGCGCCTCCCCCACCCCCGCCACCAGAGATGACCGCCGCCCGGCGATCCCCGCCTAGATAACAATGGCGCTGGCGAGGGCGTGGTTGCACCCCAGGATGAAGTAAGGAAGGGCGGGGAGACAGATCGCGGAATCACATGACACTAGCCCCGCCCCCGCTGCCGGCTCGGGGTGGGAAGCTAGAACAAGGTCCGGCGGAGCGGATGGAACGGGAGGACGGGCGGATACCGGAAGTGACGTAGAACGTATTTCGCTACGTGCAGCGACGTGGCGGCGGGATCGACGCCTAGCAGCGGAAGTGGCTGCCGCGGTGGGACTTGTGTGTTTGTGTTTTGGTTTGTGAAGCCGGCGGCCAGCCTGAGGGGAGGAGGCAGAGGAGGAAGGAGGAGGAAGAATTAGTCGGAACTCGAGCGCTCGCGGCGGCGGTGGCGGCGGAGGAGGAGGAGAAAGGAAGGAGGAAGGCGGGGCGGAGAGAGGCGGAGACCGAGCCCGGCAGGGGCGGCACCACGGCTCGAGCCCCGCACCGTCCAGTGTGAGGGGAGCGGCGCAAGGAGGTGACGCCGCCGCAGCCTCGTTCCTTCGGGCCACACCTGGGCCTTACTACCAGGAAGCTGCGGTCCCGCGGCTCCTCTCACTGCCGTCTCAGGTAACCAAGCTACCCCTCCCCATGCGCGGAGCGGGCCGGGACCCCACATTATCCGCGGTCCCCAGGCTGTCCGCGGCCCTGCCCGCGCCCATCCTCCCGCTCCTCCTCCCAGGTGCGCGCCAGCCCGCCGCGCCCGAGCGCTCTTGAACCCGGCGTCCTGTCCTGCCAGGCCTGGTGACTCATCCCTTAAGGAGCTCTAGACAACAAGATTTGGGGACTAGTCGAGGGAGCGACGGGTGTTACCCTCTTTCCTTCTCAAGATGGCGCCGCGGGAAGAGCCCTGGGGGCCCTGGTCCCGCCTGGCCCGGTCTTGGGATCTCGGTCTAAGCTAGGCCAGGTTCAGGGAACAAGGGAGGACGGCCACTCGGCGTGGCGAGCATTGCTGCTTCAGCAGGGACCCAGGCCTACGGCAGGTGTGAGCTGGAGGAGCTCCGCCTACCTCGGACTTGGAAAGACGGGCGATGCAAACGGTGGGAGTTGGTCAGAACAGGCTGGCTAGAGCTTTTTGTCATCTCTGAGAGGTGGTGAGCCAGCCGAGGCTTTAGAGTCTCAGGACACCTCGGCCGCCGAACCCTGCCCTGTGTTCCCGTCCCTGTAAGCTAGTTATCTCTCCCCTGAGACTTAACGCCATACTTCACATAGTTTCCGTCTTGCCCAGGTAGCATCCAAGGGCCGAATCGGTTGCCTTGCACACAACTAATACGGAGGGGAAAAAACACGTCCGTGTGCCCCTCTGGGAATACTTAGGATTGCCCAGATTCTTCATTCTTCACGTAAATCCGAGGTCATTGAACTCGTAGGGTTGTTGTAAGCAACAGTGTCTGGCACACATTAAGTACCCAGTAATTTTTTTTGATGAGAGAACATCTAAAATTATTTCGCGGGATATTCCTTATTTTCAAAAGATCTAAAATGAATATTCTGCAAAATATTCATGAATATTCTGACAAAAATCTCAGTAAGTAATGATATAAGTGATATGTATATAATTTTTAGTGATGCTGGGGATTGGACCCACAGCCTGCTGCATGCTAAGCAGGTGCTCCACTGAGCTACACTTCCAGCCCTTCACACAATTTTTACTTTAATGTTATGGTAACTATACGTATAACCAAGTTTGTCTTATTTTCTGTTTGCGATCGTTAGTAGCAGTCATGATTCGCTAACTTTAAACCTGAAAAGGCAAAGCTAATTCAGAATCTTGTTTGATTTTTCTATAAGAATGTGATGCTTTTCTCTGAAATTTTGGAAGTACAATAGAAATTTGGTAAAATAATCTTTTATTAGTCATTTACTGTTTTGTAGGTAACAGACAATTGGGAAGTGTTTAAATTGGTAATATATATATCTGAAGGTGTGGGTCCATTTTCAGTCTATGTGACTATGAGCATTATCTCATCAAAGGGTCACTTAATCACCTATTTCAGTCACTGCTATTTAGGAGGCACTATATTAGAGATTACTTAACATGCTTTCTTTCTCTTTTAACTATGCACATTACATATTATGGACATACAGGCTCAAACATTAAAGAATTTGCCCAGAAATGGTTAAAGCCAGGATTAGACTCCCAAATCTGGTGTGGTTGTGTAGGCTGAGGTGGGATAGTAGCTCTATTTATATCCCATTGGTTGGAAGCAGTTCAAACATATCAGTTCACCTGTAAACAGGTCAGTACATATTGGTAAAAGATAAGGACTCTAAAAAGTTAGCATTTAGGTAAGAAAGAGGTGATTTTATTGACTTGAAAACTTAAGATCGTATGGATATATTAATGAATTCATCATTATCAAGGGTGTTTCTTGTATAAAATCAAATGTCACGGGAAGGCAAATTCTATGAAGTAGCTAAATAAAGGTTTTTGTGGAGGATTAGTTATATTTTAACTAACAGTTTAATGTATATTATTAGCATATAACCAAATTTTGATTAAAGGTGGGAGTAAACTACTAAGATTGATTTATGAGTAAACTAAAACGGTTGCTTTAAATATTCACCAGTTCTTTTGAGGTTGAAAATAAACTTCAGCTGTAGTGGTGCAGGCCCCTAATCCCAGATCTTGGGAGGCTGAGGCAGGAGAATCACCAGCCTGAGCTACATAATGAGACCCTGTCTCAAAAAATGACATAGAGGTTGCTGTTCAGTCTATTTTTTTCTAAATGTGAGTTAAATAGAAAATAACAGCATGTTAACTCAAAAACAACGAAAAAAATTCAGTGTAAGTAAGTACATCAACACTAATCCCATCAGATAGAGAACAGTTTTTAGCATTTTTCTGTATGATATACTTGAGCAGATGAGGAAACAGTTTTCAGTTTTAGCCACTGGGCATACAAACTGTGAGGAGCTTAAAAATATTTCTTGCTTTAAAATAAGTAATTGTTAAGTGAAACAGAAGCCTTCAAATACTAAATTCTAGATTCTATTCTAGATGCTTTACATTTACTAACTTTCCTCAAAAATAATTTTAAGCCAGGTTGTGTGGTGAGAAAGCCCAAACTCTTGAGTCATCTCTCAGATTGTCTTGATTTGAAACTCAGCTCTGTCTCACCTCTGTCACAGTTACAGTATGACCTCACTTAAATTACTTAGCCTTTCTGTGCCTCTGTTTACTCATTTGTAAGGATTGTAGTAGTACTTAATTTTACATTGTTGTGTGGCTTTTTTGAGTACTTACAATACTACCAGGCACCAAGTCAACTCTTTAGTGAAGGTTGGATTTTTCTTTTTCTTTCTGAAATGGTCTCTCCATGTAGCCAAGGTTGACCTCAAATTTTAGATCTTCCTATCTCAGCCATCCGAAGTGCTAGAATTACAGGCTGGTGTCACCAAGCCCTGGTGAAGGTTAGCTTTAAAAAATAAATAAGAGCTAGTGGAGTGGCTCAAGTGGTAAGAGCACCTGCCTAGCAAGCATGAAGCCCTGAGTTCAAAACCCAGGGCTGCCAAAAAAACAAAGAAAAAACACGAGTGTTACAAAGTAATGTTGTAGGTGCCAATCTTATGCTTTTAGATTATTTCCTTAAAAGGATAGTGAAATAATGTAAATGACATTGAATGTTCCATTGAGGTATAATTATACAATAATATGCTGTGAGCAAAACTTATTAAAGCAATTAATACTAGAATTGCTCTGTATTATTGATTCGTATATTTAATTCAGATTTGTTTCTTTGCAGGTCTCTTCCCTCCAGAAAGAAAAAAAAAATTTGACACCTTGCACCCTGGAAGTACATTTTAGGAGTCTGAAATTAGGGACTTCTTTCAAATTTGGAATATGGCTAATCGAGGAGCAACAAGACCCAACGGGCCAAATACTGGAAATAAAATATGCCAGTTCAAACTAGTACTTCTCGGAGAGTCTGCTGTTGGCAAGTCAAGCCTTGTGCTTCGTTTTGTGAAAGGCCAGTTTCATGAATTTCAAGAGAGTACCATTGGGGGTGAGATTCCCTTTTTTCCTTACATCATTTAGTTGACTTATACATTAACAAATATTTTGGTATTCCAATTGTGTGATTATGAATATCTTGATCATATAGAGAAAAAAGCTTTCAGCAGACTTCAAGCTTTAAAACCTACCTTGATTTTTGCTGAGATGATAACTTTTTGTGTTTTGATTTCCTGGTTAATCCCAACATGGTTGCATTATAGCTAAAATACAGGTATAAATTTAGTGAATAGAATCTGTTCCAAGAAATAAGATTTAGTGATAGTTAGAAGTTTCTTCAAATTAATAAATCCTCAATTAGATTGACTTTAGAATGAATAGAAGAGTTAACCTTAAATTTTAATTTTGTGTAACTGAACTATTTGTAAGTTAACTTGTACCAGTTTGTAAAATTAAGCTTAAGTGTTACTAGGGTACACATGTAAAAATGCTCCTAGGATAAGGGAATAAGAAAGGTAAGTAGTGTAAAGGGACATATAGGAAAATGGGACCTAGAGAAAAAGGTGGGAGAGGAAGAAAAAATGGAGCAAGCACTGCAAACAGTGGGTAATGGTAGGATGGAGATGAGAGAAAGGTAAGATGCAAGACAAAAAGAGAAAACTAATAGTACATTATAGTCCAAAGAAGACTGAAAATTCAAGAATTTAATCAAATACATAATTATACATCAGTGGGGCAAAAGAGCATCTTTGGGGCCTAAATCTCATCTGTGAAATGAAGCTTTTGAATTAGGTGATATTAGAGGAATCACAGGGCTTTAAGACTCACGGTTTTACAAGGGACATGTAAATAGTACTGTTTTTTAAGGTACTTACAAGTATATTTCAACCCCATACTTGAATAAGTAAAATAAATTACACAACTCTTCCACCTTCTTACTTTCCTACATGAGGGAAATATGCTAGGTAAGTGGTGTTTCTATTTTAATTGACTCAGTAGTATAATAGTGAATGTCAGCTTTTTTGTATTTTTACATCATGGTAGTGTGTTAAATTACGTGAGTATTTTTATGTTTTTTTTTTTTATAATTACTTGGCACTAGAAAGAATAGTATATATTATAGAACTTTTGAGCTGAAAGCTGGACTTTAAATGTCAGTGCAAGGAGAATAAGATATACTGATGAACACTTCTGTAAATGTCACAACGTGCCCCCAGTACAACAATGATATGATAGTAAAAATTAAAAAAAAAATACTAATACACGGTATATTGCAAATCCTTTGTAGTTTCTTTGTTAGTACAGTCTATCTGGTTTAGTAATGAAATGTTATCTCTCAGGATGATTTAGCCTTTATAAGCATCTTGGTCCAAAGCCAGCTGACCCATCTACTGGAAACAGTTTTAAAACCCACTTGATTATATCCACCTACCTTAAACCATTTGACGGTCAGTAGCAGCATTTCCCCAGTCCATAGGCATTCTGTGCTAAATACCCTGGGCCAAAAAGGTTTGGGACTTGACTGTATGCTCCCCATCCCACTTTCATAGTACATATTAAATTAATGAAAGCTTACATACTATAGAACATAACAACAGAATTCCTGGGAAGCTTCTAGGAACCTAAAATCAGAAATTCTGTTTTATTTTTGATAATCCAGTTATCTTAATATAATTTTTATTTTCATTTAACAACAGTCATAGTGTCTACATTTCATTAATGAATTTTTCATAAAGATTTTCCTTCCTGCATATAAAGTTTCTTTTGTACAGTTCATGTTTGGCTAAAAGAAACTTGCATCCAAATTTCTGCATTAATGATTATTGGATACTTTTTTGAGTATGCTGATATTGCCTGTTTGTTCCTATAGGAGTTGTAGTTAGTGCCATTATGATTACAGCTGAAAGCACTTTTTTTTTTTTTTTTAAATGGAGACAGCATTTTGTGATGTATTCCTGGCTGGCCTCAAACTAGCAGTGCTCCTGCCTCAGCCTCCCAAATGCTGGGATTACAGGTGCACAAAACCACAGGCCCAAGAAAAGCACATTCTTTTTATGCGCTTTGCTAACAGTTCTTTGCCCACAGGAACTATAGTAGATCCTAAGCATTTAAGGACCTCAGGGTTTGAAGTATTTACTGTCAACTCCAAAGGGTCCTTGTAAGTAATATGGTTTGGGTTTTTTTTTTTTTTTTTAATTACTTGACTGTTTATATTTAGTAATTAGTTTATATTAGTATTAGTTTTTATCCAGTATATTAGTTACTATGTTCCAAAGCACTGAAAATTCTCGTTTCTATTTTATCGTGTTCTAAGGTAGAAATCATGTTGCAATCTTGAATTTATGGTTGTAGAACCTTCTGAATTTTATATGGTTCTTCCTAAAAATGATAATTTGATTTAAGAATCCTTACATCAAGTGTCTCACTATACCCCACACTCCCTTGACCCTGTAGCACTCTTGGTGGAATTAGTTAGCTTGGTTCAGGCTTAGCAATTTAGGGAGTTGTAGCTTGTTTGTAGGAGTTTAAAGTTTGCATATTTATGTTTCTGAATGTCTAAGATAAGCCCAGTGGCAGCATTTGCCACAGTACATAGACATTCTGTGCTAAGTATTCTGGGCCACAAAGTTTGGAACTTGGCTGTATGTGCCCCTCCCCACTTTCATAGTACATATTAAAATAATAAAAGCATACATACTGTAGTACAGAACTGCTGGGAAGCATGCCATGCTGCTGGGGAGCATTGGGCTTAGAAGGTTCTCTCCTCCTTTATTTGCTATCTCATCTGTAGGCTTAGCTCTTCCTTAAATACTTGTTAGATGGTAGGACTGGCCATCTTTCACTTAGCACGTTGAATACCTAAAAATTTTAAAAAGACATTTAAATGATATTTATAGACAAGTGGATTCTCAGTGTGGGTTAGAATATGCAGTGAAATGCATGCAAGTCAGACAGTCCTTTGTACCACAGTTATAATTTTCTGTGTACTAATCAAAAAATGTCTTAAGCTAAGGTTTAGGTGATAAAACTGTACAGGAAAATGTTAACATTTCTCTTGCTGATATTGTGATTTTTGAGCATTAGTTTAATAATTCTTAGTGTTTCTGTTCCACAAGCATCTGCATTACTAGGAACTTATAAATTCCCATATTGAATCAAAACAATGAAGTAGAGCCAGCAGTCTGTTTTAACAAGTCTTCCAGATGATTCTGGTGCATGCTGAAGTTTGAGAATCGCCGCTTTGGGGTTTTTTTTTGCTGTTGGTCTCAGTCTGTACTCCAGGCTGGCCTGGAACTCACTGTTATCCAGACTGGCTTTGCACTTATAATCCTTCTGCCTCAACTTCCTTAGTTGCTGGGATTAGGGTTAGGTTATAGGCCTGTGCCACCATGCTTGGTTGCATATTATAAAAAGCACTTTGAGAAAGGAGGACAGAAGACCCAGAGATCAATTACCAGCATTCAGTGGGTGGTTTTGTGTGTGTTTTTTTTTTTTCCTGAGACAGGAACTCACCCTGTAGTTAAGACTAGCCTCTAACTTGCTATGTCACCTAACAAGTGGCCTCAAATTCATGATCCTGCTGCTTTAGCCTCCCAAGTGCTGGAATTTCCATGCTTGGTTTGGAAATTCCTTCCCTCCCTCCCACTGGGGTTTGAACTTAGGACATACACCTTGAGCCACTCCATTAGCCCTTTTCTGTGAAGGGGTCTCGAGAACTGTTTGCCTGGGCTGACTTTGAACCCTGATTGTCCTGATCTCTGCCTCCTTTAGTAACTAGGATTATGGGCGTGAGCCACCAACGCCCCGCCAATGTTTTTGATTAATGAGAAAAAAATTTCTGAAATATTTATTGTAATTTTTTATGCACTGAGTTAGTTTGTGGAAGGTGGTCATTTGTTTTCAAGTGAAAGATTATTTATGCATAATATAGTTCCTCCTAGAAAGTATATATGTAGTGGTTTGGTATGTTACAAAGAGAAGTTGCTAGAGATTTGGAATTCCATATCATTTCGTATCACTTATGACCTAAAGAGATGATCTTTTAATAGTGGAACTATCAATTGTTCTCTGATTTCTTAATTTAAAATGATACATTAACTGACCAGGCCCCATTGCTCAGGTCTGTAATCCTAATTACTTGGAAGGTGGAAATTGGGAGGACTGCAATTCAAGGCCAGTCTGGGCACATCCCCATCTCAATCAATGGCTGGGCACAGTGATATGAGCCAGTCTTCCCAGCTATGCAGAGAAACACAAATAAGATCACTGTTCAGGCTAGTCCAGACATAAAAGGAGACCCTATCTAAAAATAACCAATGCAAAAGGGGTTGGGGTTGTGCTTAAGTGGTAGACCACCTGCCTACCAAGCACAAAACCCTGAGTTCAACACTCAGTACCACCTCCCACCCCCAAAAATAAGTTAAGATAACTAAAACATTCCTATGAGTTGAGAGTAGACTTGGTTCTAATCCTTACACCTCTTTCATGAACACTTACTCAAACTCTATTTACACATTTGTAAAAAGAGAGTATTGAACTATATAAGAATTGGTACAAAGCAGACGTTCTTTGAAATTGTGTTACCTACGTTAAATACTGGAGTTAATAAAATTTATTTCATGAAATAACTGTGGATAATGAGTGTCAGTTTTAATTTTGTTAATTCCCTCTAGTGCTATTGAAGTATTCAAAGCTGTTTGATAGGATGATTTTTACCAAATAGCTCTAACTTAGTGAATTACTTTTGTTGATTCACTAATTTATTGCCTTTATTCTGTTGTCTAGGGGGAAGTAATAATAGGTTGCCTCAAATTCAGATCTCTGCAAATTTACCTAGCTCCTAACACCATAATACTAGAAACCAAAGATGACTTCTTGGTTTAGTATGGGGGAGAGAATGACTAAACACTGTAATCTAGTACTGTAATTTAAAAATATGCAAATGGAAGTAGGAATATAGTCTAGGAGTAGGGCCTTTGCCCAGCTTGCATGAGGCCCTGGATTCATTCCCTGGCACCACAAAAACGAACAAAAAGGTATATAAAAATGATG